AGTTGATTTGTTCTTGGATGCTAAAGAGATGTGTCATGCATATATACAAAAGATTATGCATGTACAGAAATATGGCTGGTCTGTAAAGTGTGCTAAAACAAGAATGCCTAATTATGCGAATAAAGGATGCAATCTAGAGGAATGTCAACTATCGTAGACAAGACCAGTCGCGTCTAAGGTAAGTAAAGTTGACTTATTTGGGGCCCTCGGATCAACGAAGTGCATATATGATGAAAGAATAAATACATCTGAACGAGAGAAAACGCAATTGCTGGCAAAGTGGATAAGTAGAAAAATTTTTCGGAGTAAAACCATCGCGGAAAAAGGTCAAATAGGTGCGAAACAAAGAGGGTCAGTCAGGAAAGTAGAGTTTTCAGAGGTTAGATTAATCATGAACCGCTTTGTTAACTGGGATTTGGTTTTGTGATTACGCTGCTTTAATTTAAGCAAAGACTTCGCTCTAACAAAAATTTAATTTAACTTGTATGGTCCAAAAGTTCTTTCTAATTCCGAATAGATTGAAGCTTCCACTTGACACAGATATTAGAAACAGACAAGGAAGCCCTGAAAAACAAGCTTTGAGAACTCTCGGCCCTGATACTGTCTGACCGAAGCATCAGCCTGTTTGTCTATGCGCACGCATAAATCGGTTTTGCATTCCTCTAGGCTTTTTGAGGAGAGTGAATGTGAGTCGAATTCGGAATCAAAACCAATTTCGAAAATATATTCTACGGAGAAATGAACTGGGGAACTAAAAGTCTGTGGCAGTTGAAGCCTAGACGACTTAGGATGAACACTTTCTAAAATCTGAATTTACGCATGGTTTCTAATAAATGGATACTAAAATTTTAGGAAAATGAAATGAAATAGGCTATCACAAAATGTGATCTATCTAAAACAATTTTATAAATAAGAATAAAGTTATTATTTCAACCATATATCTTAGGATATATATATATATATTTATAGCGTTTTACGCAAATAAGATAGGTACATACTCAATTTTCTGTATAAATGCAAATCAGCGAGTTTAATGAATACAGTATAGGGGCTTTCTTTAACTCATTTAGTAAATACGTTTTTCTGTATATGCCAATAATGACTATATTAAACATATTAAAGAAAATATTTAAAGTATGTGGAGAAGTTGGAGAATTTAATGCTCGAGGTAGGCGGGGATAGATCAAGTGGATACGGCCTTCATGTTATAAAACTAATTCCGTTTTTAAGAATCGAGATAACTTTTCTTGTCTGGCAATGCTCCTCAACTTCTCGTCCGTTTGTACCACATGGCCGGATCTACAAAATATTCCGAAATAGTGTTCAAGATCGAATCGTTCCTTCCTTCTACCATCGAAAAGCAAGTCTTTTTTTCGTCAAATGTAGCCCCGGCAAAAGTGAAACACAAAACGAGTGAGTGAGTGAGGTGATGTAGTCTGCAAGTGCAAAGGAGGTTTGGGAGTCGGCCAATTTGCTTTGACTATTATAGTCAGTACACTCGAAAGAAAGTATCCTTGTAGAACAATCTCAGGAAATTTTATCCTTTACTCTTAATGTTTTTTCCTTAAACGATGAAAAACTCTTTGAGAAGTATTTAAAAACAGTGCGACGGTATTCTGACTTATTTCGTTTCATATGCTCTTAGAATAAAAGCCAAATAGTGGAGATCTTTTCGGGACCCAAAATAACTTAAGAAATGGGGATATTTTCGGCAAGTCATCTCACCAGCAATGAAATACCTATAAAAGCAGTTCGATGGATCAATTCCTATGTATGTATGAAGCATGGCATGCATGAAATGTGACTTGAAAATATTAACTCAAAGCATAAAATCTGACAACGATTTGTCATTTTAACCATATATATATTCAGTAGTTTATAAGTAATAAATTCGAAAATAAGTGAAACCTATGGAATAAAGGTGACATTTGGCTCACTTGTGTCCATGTCATCTCGCATAGTCCTTCTGGTCGCTCACAACGAAATCGCTGTTCCGTTAGCACTGCAATCAGCAAGTTGAAGAGCCCCGTCAGAAATACGGCGCTACGCTCGACATCGCTATAATTGTTAGCACTGGCACCCATAACCGACCTAGAAGCTACTTCACAAGCCTCAGATAAGAGGGCCAACTCTGCAGTCTCTTCCTCTTCAATATCGTATTGTCCTTTATCTAAGTCCTTCGGTTCTATTTGCGTTGACTCTTTTTGTTCAACCGCTTCAGCCGACTTGCTAGAGTCCTTATTCTGCTCACTAATTTGGATGCGACTAGGATCATTCGATTGTTCAGGAAGGTCATAAAAGGCTGGGATTTGAGTATCCAAGGCTAAGCGATTTGTTTTATTGTAGAGTAATTCATGAGCTATCGGCATGCTCGTTTGTAACTGCAAATCGCTGGAACTAGATTTATTCGAGATTTGGCTGGCTGGACAACCGATAGGTGAGGCGCGCCTAGCTATTGAGCAATGCCTGACGTGGAGATACGGAGAGGAAGCTAAGACAGAGAAGGGGCAGAAGAAATATGGTTACATAATTAACACATTCTAAATATGTTTGATGTAAGTTTCTGACAAAAAAGAACTGCATTTATATGACTTTATTTTTTCAAATATAGTAAGTTAGAACTTAGTATTCCTCTATTGTCTGTATTAACAACCGAATAGGTAGTAAAATGGAAAGTAGGGTAGCAAAATTAAAATATCTCGAAAATACCAATAAAAATCGTAGAATAACCTGACGAGAGGAGAGTAACCAGTCATCTAAAATTATTTTCCATGAGAGTTTAATAGAGCTTAGGAGTATTGTTTCGTTCCTCTCATCACCGTAATTCAAGGTGTAATCAGTATTGGATTAGTTAAAATTAACTAATTTACAATAATATGCAAGAATTAAGGATAGATGATCAATTAGCTACCATCAAAAGTAATGAGTTAGAAGATATAGATAGGATAAGGTATACAAATTTAGCTTAGCGTATGGCAAGAGAACCCTGCAAGACTATATCTAGAATGGAGGAAGGAGATAGATCAAATGATCCTCCATTGAACATTCTTGCCTAAAAAGCTTGTCAACTCTAAGGTTATAGACAAGTATCGTCTTGTTGAAATAAGATTATAATCAAAATTAATAGCCTTCCGAGTATATCTTGAATAATAACTGTGCTCGCTATAGGTCGCTTAGGGTGAGGAGGGACAGATAGTTAAATATTCCCACGTTGCTACGAGTAAAAACCAAATAAGGCTGACTGTAGCCCTTATTTAGGATCTACTGATAGTCTCGAAAACGTACTAATTATGCATTTTTTAAAAATTGTTTGTAGTGGTAAAATTTAATTTTGCATTATTGAAAATCCCACAATAAATGTGATATTTGAGAGGCATGGCTTGCCTTGAAAGTCACATTTGCCCTGTGGCCCACTGACGCCCAAGGCTGTGTAGTTCCGGCAACATGCTCTACTACCTGGATTCGATTTCCGCTGGGAGTGCAAATTAGAACCCCGCGAGGTCCTAATTACAGTCTATTTTGAATAAGGTTACGTTTTTAGAGGTCAGGCTAGGAAGAACTCATTAGAAAATTTAGATCTATTGATATAAAAGTGGAAAAATTAAAAAATTAGGCGATCTTAGGTGATTACATCTCTAAAATAGGATTAACCACTCCTGCCTCTCAGTAGTGTTTTCCAAGTATAAAAAATGCAGGCTGTATTTTGGATATAAGGATTATAAAGCAAGCCAACATGCCTAGGGAGTGCCTTCAGATATTAAAGAGTTTTGCTTAATTGGTGACACTTTTGAAACTTTATAAGTAAGTAACCTAGTGCACAAATTTTGTCTTGCTATCAACATCATTAAAATAAGAAACATGAACCAGTTTAATTTTCATGTTATGTGCTATTTAAATAGATTGGTTGAACATCCTTGCTACCAGGGCAGGAACTAGCAGATCATATTTGATTTCTGACCCTTAAGGCCTTTCCAGTGCACTAATACAATATTTTGAACTGAAGCGAGTGATGTTGTATTCTTTACAAAGAGATGACTTAATATAATTGAAAGTAGTTGAATAAAGTGGCTCATCTAACCTTCACAACAAGAAAAAAAATAGTTTACATATGCAATTATTTTGCGCAGGCGAAAAAGAATGTCTATTAATAAGATCAGAAAAGTTTATGACTAAGCCTCAGAATGCAAATGAATTTTACTTAGCCTTGGCTTCAAAGAGGATTGCCAAATAGACTGAAT